TTTCACTCATATCTAAAATGTCATATTTACTTGCATATTTTTCTGTCTTGGCTCTACCATGCATTGGTTTGTCTTCCTGTGTCTTGGTTCCCCTTTCTGTAAAACAGGAAAATTGCATCTGCTTTGTCATGGGTCTGTACAAGCCTTCTGCATACATGCTGTCCTTTAGCGTGGGATTTTTGTTGGGCTCTAAACAATGCAGGTTGGGGCGTCTCTGATTCTCTTGCCTTCTTGTGGGACCTATTTCCTCCTGCTGGATTGCCTCATTCAGCCTCAATATGAAGGTATATGCCTAATCTTACTGCATCTTGTTATGCCATGTTCCATTGATAATACTGGGAGGCTGCTCTTTTCTGAAGGGGACAGAGGAGCGATGGATCTGGGAAAGAGGGGGAGGGGGACTGGAAGGAGAGAAGGCTGCAGTTAGAATGTATTAGGATATATTGTATGAAGGAAGAATACGTAAATAAAGTAACATCCACTTTGTGAAATTTTTATAGCGACTACATACTTAAATGCTGCTGGCAGTATTGGCATCACCGGTGTGGGTGTGCTTGTTCTGGCAAGGCTACATCCTGCCTCAGAAGAAAGTCAAGTGAGGTGGGAGTGGCCAGGGTTTGAGGAAGGAAGGGGAACAGGTAGGACCATCCTCAGTCTGAGTCTGGCTCATACATGGGCTTGAATGTGTCAAGCAGAGCTGTCTCTTTAAGTTCTTTCTTCATCTCCTGGAGCATGTGCATGGTCTGCCTGGTCCATCCCAGTCTGATAGACTCCTTCAAATTGCATCATATCACGCATCAAGCAAATGGGGCTGGCTCTCTCTGTCATGGTAGAGATTTATCAGGTGACAGAGCTGAGCTTTCTGGTAGTTAGATTTATTTTTAGCAACTTCATCCTGAGATGCTTTAAATTAGGACTGCAGCTAATTTAAAGCACTGCATGGTGCGTGGTTAGCATTTCTTCATGAGCTACGTGCACATCTGAAATCTAGTGATGGAGGGGCCATGCCAAACAGCAGGGAAAGAGGCCTGCTTATATCCATCTGTCCTATAGAAACCCCATGCCCCAAAGCATCCTGTCTGGCCACAGCTTGGCCAGCAGCATATGACCTGGCTGTTCTCTGCTTCCTTGTCCCCTTTTCCAACAGTGGTTAAGCCATTTCTGCTTAATGAATCCCCTGAAATGGCTGCCTGGCTCCATGCTTATCCAGTGGTCCTGGTATAGATACACCTCATCTGCTGTCTAGATAGTGAGTCTCAGACTCTACCCTGAGTCTGACTGAACCTCCTAGCTTGACCCAGCCCATGCAAAGCTTCTATGCATCCACGAGTGCATTTCTGGCAAGTCCTCAGGGGACCCCACTTTCAAGACGGTTGATGAACCATGGTGTCCAGCTCACATCCTAAGGGCTTTACACAGTCCAGAAAGGAAACAGTAGGGCTCAACACAAGGGTTTCATGCAGTCCAGAACAGCTATGGATACAGCCCAACACAAAATCATAAACTTACTTAAAACCTCATAAGATTATTTTTCATCTTTCTGGTAAATCTATTACATGAGTCTCAAGCATGAATTTTGTAGATGCAACATCAATATCATGCCACAAAAATTCCAAAGCCACATGTATTACTCACACGCACACACACACACACACGCACACACACACACACAAGTACACACATATTCAAAACCTATGGGCCATGAGTTGAACAACCTAGATTTAATGTGTGCCCTGACAATTCTTCCTTATCCAACATGGCCCAGAAAATCCAAAGGTCTGACTCGCTTGAGTTCTAGACTATTCCAGGAGTTTTCTAATGTCTTTCTCTATAAGTAATTTGAGATGCTGGCTGATTTCCTTTGCTAGCCAGTTTCTATCATGTCTTCCTTTGATCAAAACCTCACTACTAATCCAAGCAGACTTTCCTGGAAGTCAGATGAGGACCAAAACCCATGTGGACACCTGGATATGACACTACCACTGTGGTTTATGTATGGGCTTTTCCCTGTCCTCATTCAGTCACATGCCTCTGGGCAGCAGAAACTATGTCCATCCCACCAGTGTATCCAAGGCCTCTGAGACATACCAGTGCTTAGGAAATGTCTCAGGAGTGGAAAATTACTGAAGGCATACTTAACAAGAGATAGAAGTTATTCCTCTTAAGAGAGAATCCAAGCAACTCCTGTGAAACTAGGGTTTGATCTTGCCGTATCTACCTCCCCAATTTTGTTAATCCACAGGACTATATATAGCTTACAGAGAAGTAAAGTCTGATTTGATTGAAATCGAGTAAGTGTAAGAACTGTATAGGGAGCTCAGCTTGGACGTGGGGAAGTGGCCCTAGGGTCAATGCTGATCCCTCAGCTGATGGAATGAACTTGGGCAAATGTCACTTGGCCACCCTGTGAAGGGGAAATGGTTTCTACCTACTTCAGAGACCAGTTATTGGAAACAATGGGATTACCAAGGTAAATTGGTTAGCTCAATTCTTGACAAGTAGAAGGTCCCCAATAATCTGTGACAAGTTTTTATCAGTGAGGTCTCCAGACCAAAAAAAAAAAAAAAGAAAGAAAGAAAGAAACAGGTGGTTTTCTTATGTGAGTTTTAATGAAAATGAATTCCACTCTGTTTGAAAAATGATAATAGATAAAGCATTACAAGATTCTTTCCCTGTTTTAATGCGTCAAGAATATACCAAATTCATTTTTTCCAGAAACAATCCCAAAGGACTAGTAAACTTGATTTATGTTTTCTTTACCAGTCACTTTTATTCCAAAAGCCTGGCATTTCCATTAAAATGCTATTAAGTAAAAACGGAATTTTACAGTATTTGTGATGGCTTGGGTCTCGGTGTGATAATTGCAATTATCTCCAGCAAAGATGCCATTCCTCAACTTTTTATTTCCTCCTATACATCAGCTGCATCTTTAGTACTTCCCAGGTGGTGAAGATATCCACTTCCCCGGGAATCTGTGGTTCTGAGTTCTGTGAAGGGACATCAGAGGGCAGCCATCCAGAGGTGCAGAATGACTTGCAAGAGTGGTGAAATGTGTATGCTGGCCAGTGCTAGACAGAGGCGGCTGCAGAAAAGGATATCCCCATCCTCCAGAGAGACACGAGGAAGACCTGTCTAGTCTGAGTGTGCAGGTTGGAGTTGATGAGGTCCCCATCATCATGGCAGTCCAAACTAAGGCTGACACCCAGACCATGTACTCTTTAAAACACCCTGCCACTATAGATGTCCAGTCCTGTCTAGCTGGGTTAAAATTTCTTCTCTGAAATGACATTATTGTGAAACATTCTGGAACTAGATGGCAATGATGAGGATAACACCTCATCCAAGAACTAAATACCACTAAATGGTACACTTTAGAGTGGTTTCAATTGTGGCTTTCATGTATGTTTCACATAAGAACAACAACAATTTTCCTAGATAGTTTCCAAAACCTCTTGCAGCTAACACTTGGAGAGTGCTTGGAGAGTAGGCACCTCACCCAGAGACTGAACACTGGGTTCTGTTTAGGCAGATAGAAGTCATGCAGCCATTAAAGCTCTAACTGAGGAGGAATATTAACTTCATTACTGCTGAGGCTTAGTACACAGATTGTGTGTATGTCCAAGAGAAACACGCTTGGGGTGAGCAATAGAGCAATAGATGTCCTGTCATCTTAACTCTAAATACAGACATCTAAACATTCTTAGTGCCTATATTCAAGTTGTGGGACTAGGAGAAAGCAACAGGAGAATTGCATGTTGTAGGGCAGCCTGGGCTAGCTACATGGTAAGTTTATGACCAGCCAGGGATACACAGTGAGACCTTGTCTCAAAACTAAAAGTAAATAAAAATGAAAGCCACTCAGGTGCCAGAATGGAGAACGGGAAGGGCAAACCCAGAAACATGGTGTGATGGTTTGAATGAAAATGGCCTCCATAAGCCCATAGGGAGTGACACTATTTGGAGAGGTGTGGACTTGTTAGAGGAAGTGTGTCACTGGGGATAGGCTTCTAGATTTCAGAAGCTCAAGCCAAGGTCCAGGGTCACTCCCTCTTCCTGCTGCCTGCTGATCCAGATGTAGAACTCTTAGCTGTCTCTCCAGCACCAAGTCCTCCTGCAGGCCACCATGCTTCCTACCATGACGATAATGGACTAAATCTCTGAAACTGTAAGCCAGCCCCAATTCCATGCTTTCCTGTATGAGTTGCTGTGGTCATGGTGCAGGTAGGACAGACCGAGAGCGCTGGCCTCTGAGAGGTGATCTGGGGACTAAAGTGATACAGCATTGGCTATGGAGACAGAGGAAGACTTGGCATTTATTCTGATTTTCCCCACTTGGGTAGCTGTCAGAGATCTGGTAGTGACACACCAAGGAGATGGGACAAACTTTGGGTGGGGAAAGGGCTGTGTCACGCTGAAGCGAGAAGGAGCTAAGACCATTTCCAGCAAGGGGCAGATAGGTAAAAGTGTGGCTACTCGCTTTCTTTATTTTCAGATTAATCAGAATAAAACACACGTGGTAAGGGGTCACATAGCTTGTCCTTTTCTGTGTGAGCTCCAAATAAACAGTTAAGGCAGGAGACTGTCTGTGTTCCTTGGATAGTGGAACGGAAGTGTCTCCCCAAGTTGTTCACTGAACTGTGCCTGTGGCTTCTTGCCAACCCTCAGTGAGATTTTTCCATTTCTTAATTATTCAATTACTACCCATAAGTATGAGTTTAAAGCCAAACCCAGCCTGCTCACAATGAAGTATTCCCTCGAATTGTGAGCAGGGCGAAGCTGGGCTGGCAGGATCAAGGAAACCTATGTTTCTAGTCCTAGCTCTGCCCCGGGTTCAAGCCTTGGCTTAACTACGCAGGAGCTGTGTGAGCCTTGACAGGCTGCTTCTCCGAGGCAAGTTTTCTAGTCTATAAAACAGAAAGAGTGTAATGCCAAGCCCCTGGGGTACTGTTCATCTCAAGGAGGAAGGCAGTATGTATGTCATGAGTGCCTTTGTATTTCAGGTCTCAGCATCCTGAGAAGCCTTTCCCTGGGAAGGAAGATCTGGACTGTGAGCTGACGGGTGACCCAGAATCCAACCCTGAAGCCCACCTGCCCTCCATTTGCCTCAAGCAGGTGTTCCCCAAGTATGCCAAGCAGTTCAACTACCTGCGCCTGGTAGACAGGATGGCCAATTTGTTTATCCGATTCCTGGGAATCAAGGGGACAATGAAGTTGGGACCAACTGGCTTTCGGACCTTCATAAGGTGAGACCACCTTCCTTCTGCTTGAGCTTTGGAGAGGGCAGAGTCCAGCCACTCATATGATGGCCACATGACCCTTGAATGATCTTGGGAGGCCTTAGTGTTGAATTGGTGCCCTGTTTGAGGCTGTAGTCACCTCAGTGCTGACACTGATCCTGGCATATTGTAGACTCTTGTCAAATGAGTTAATGAATGTTCTGACCATGACATTTAAATCTTAGAGTCATCATTAAAACAAGCAATTGTGGGGCTGAGGGAGATAAATATGTAATGATCTTGATGCATAAGCATGAGGACCTGAGTTCAGATCCCCAAAACCCACTTAAAAGCCAGGCATGGCAGCATGCAATAGTAATTCCATCACTGGAGATGGAGAGCAGGGCAAGATAAGAGCATGCTAGCAAGCCATTCTAACAAAAGTACAGGACTCTAGGTTCAGTGAAGAGCCTGTCTCAAAATAGCAGATGGAGTGTAGTAGAGGAAGACGCTCAAATCAACCTCCAGTCTCCATATATACACGCAGAGGTGTTTGCACCTGTCCTTACACACACACACACACACACACACACACACACACACACACACACACACAAAAGAATTGTAAACTACATTTGTATTGTTGTTGTTATGACACAATGTCTTAAGCTGGGTAACTTTATAAAGAACAGGGGTTTACTTAACTCACAGTAGTTTAAGTTAGCAACTTAAACTCTGAGATAATCCTCATTAGTTAGAGTCTAATGGCAGATGACCTTACAGGGGAGGCATGTGCCTGAGAACGATCATGCCCAGAGATGATGCTAGAGAGAAAATAGGAGTTGGGATCATTCTTATAACAACTAAGAGTCCCACAAGAACTAGTACCCTCCAAGGGCACATGCCCAATGCCCTAAAACCCTTGAACAAGCTCTGACTCCTAAAGATGCTACCACTTCAATAACACCACACCCAGGTGCATGCTTCCAACACATCAATCCTCAGGGGATGACCTCAGTTAGTATTGACAACCTGGCACAGCCCAAAGTCCTCTGAGAGGAAAACCTAAATCAGATTGGCCTGTAGGCATGCCTTTGAGGGGCAGTTTTGATTATTAACCTGCCAGGAGGGCCCAGCACACTGTAGGGACACCATCTCTGAGGAGGAATCTTCGAGCAAGCCATCAAGCAGCATTCCTCCATGTTTTCTGCTTCAAATACCTCCTTGAGTTCCTGCCCTGACTTCCCTCAATGATGGGCAGGGTAAGCTGCTTCTTGTTCGAGTGTTTCATCACAGCAACAAAATGAAACCATACTCTGACTGCAGCAGGTACCTTGAACCAGGTCCTTCAACACTTAGTGGGGATTGCTCAGGAGTCCAACCAGCCTTGTGTTTCTTAACATGAATTTTCCCAGTAGGACCAACCTGGTTGAGGCTGAGATCACAAAAACATATCATTTCACAGTGAGTTTATGGAGTGAAAACTTTAATAATTAGTCTGGTAAATCATACAGTACATTTGTTCTAATATTAAAATAACATGCATATAGTGTGTGCTATACAAAACTTGTTTGAGTTTTAAAAGTAAAGTCTAAAATACGAAAGATTTTGCTTTAGCTACAAAGTAAGCAATTGCCTCTTAATGTTCATCTTTGGTGGTTCATTCATTTGCCTCCTTCCTTTGGAACACTTTGGGGGCAACATAGTAAGCTCACCAGCCATGAACCCAGGGCAAGCTCATGACTATCCTTGGACCTGGGGGTTTTTTAGGCTGTAGATTGAAATGAAGCCACATAGAGGTGTGTGTGTGTGTGTGTGTGTGTGTGTGTGTGTGTGTGTGTGTGTGTGTGTGTTGTGTATAGAATTAATGAGGACCACAGGGAAACATCTAGTACATGGCAAGTGATAGTTTTATAAATTCACACACAATGAAGGGAGGGGAGAGAACAGAGAGAGAGAGCCAGGGCCTACACTTGGTCTAGTAAAAACCTGACAGCCATGCCAAACAAATGACCCTAGATCCCTTCAACAAATACGATCTGGTTCCAACAGAGAATTTCTCATTTGCAGTTCTCTGTGGCATTGCCACCTCAAAAAGAAAAGTCTCCTCGGCATTGCTGTCACATCCTTCCCCTGCCTCTCAAAGCCACACTCCTCAGGGCTCTCTTCACTAACACAAATAATTGTATGCCATGAGTTGGAAGCCATGTTTTGCCAAAGACTTCCCCAGATAGTTTATGGAGACTGCCACCAGCTTCTGGTCTTGGTAAGATGTTAAAGCCAAGTCTTGGTGGCCACTGTTGCCTCTTGAGCAAGCCTGAAGTCCTAGCTGCAGGATGACTTTAAAAAGGGACTGCATTAGTTTCAGGGGTGGGAGTTTGGGAGTAGAAAGGACATAGGCTTTAGGGTCCAATAGGTCTGACTGTGGGACCAAGCATATTGCTTATTGGCTGTGTGGCTTCGATGAATTGTCCATTAGACTCTAAGCCCCAGTTCCCTGGGTGAACAGTAATCCTGCTTTGCATGGCATTATAAGTCTAGGGTGTAATATATCATAAGGCATCTGTCCCAAGGCCCAGGTCAAGGGAGCTGCTTGCCAGATGAGGGCTTTTGATTCTTGTCAGGATTGCTTTTGATACTCAGTAATAGGATAGTGTTTTCAAGTGGCTTAGAATATAAAAGCCACCAGAGGGTTCTAGAACTGGTCAGCAACTCCACAATGTCATCCATGTTCCCACCTTCTTTCTGTTCACCCATACTAGGCATGTTCTGATGGTTTCAGGGTTGCCTTATGGTCACAGGGTAGCTGCTCAAAATCTAGCCACCATGGTTGAGTACTGGACTAGAAGAAGGTCTGAATAGGTCTGTACCCTACCAGATGAAGCTGCCCTGGATGCCATATGCAATGATTTCTCCCTCTGTTTTGTTGACTACTTCTAGTTACATGGGAAGCTGGGGAAACAACTCTATATTATATCTATTCATTAATTTATGTAGTGTGTGAGAGGACAGGTGTACACATGTCATAGCATGTCTCTGGAGGTCAGAGGACAGCTTTCAGGAACCAGTTTTTTTTCCTTCCACCATGTGGATCCCAGACATTGAACTCAAGTTATCAATCAAGCTTAGTGGCAAGCATCTTTATCCACTGAGCCATGCTGCTGGTCCCTAGAGTTTTGGGGGGGGGTTTTGTTTGTTTGTTTTGTGTGTGTGTGTGTGTGTATTTGCTTGTCTTGTTAAGTATACACACTGCTGTCTCAGCACAGTGAAAAGGAGGAAGACAAATAGCCAAGCAGTCTCTGCCTCTTGTGATTCTTATTTGAACCTTGGAACATAGAGGACCTTCACCTAAGGGTCTTTGGAAGCACATGGGACACAAGAGAAGTGAGCGAGCTGGTGTGGTTTCTTTGACCTAGAGCCAAGGCAAGAACATTCTGGGCCTGCCCAGCTTCTGCACCATGACACAGAAGTTCCCGCATTCAAACCCTGAGGGACTAAAGGGCCAGCTGAATTTCGTGTGGGGAACTATCAGAATCTGCAAGGAACATAAATCCTGTGACACCTGTTCCATGCCCATCTCTTCCCAAGCATGGGGATAGGACATTCGAAGACAGGTTAAAGAAGCCTTCCTTCTCCTGAGACTCCCAGACTTAACAGCCCATGGGAGCATACTCTTCAAGTTTGAAGCAGCGACAAACGGCTCCTTGGCCAGGGATGTGAACTGGAGATAAGAACAGGGGAGGTTGTACCCACCTAGTGGAATCCATTGGGGCCTCCTGGAAGAGGCAGGGTTTATCCTATTACTAGTTGTCATTGGCTGAGCAGTAGACAGACACACCACCAAGGCAGCAAGGAGAGACAGCAGAAGGATTTCATGTGGCCCAAGCTGAGAAATGAGAGATGCTGTGTAATGCAAGCTGCAAGGGACCTGAGGCTCTGTGAACTCGGTGAAGACACGGGATGGGCTCTGGGAGGCTTGCTGGCCACTTGTGGGGGAATTTTCCCAGTCAGAAGACAGGGAGGAGATCTGGGAACACTGAGAAGCTTGCAGTCTCAAATGTTTCAGGCAGGATGAATGACAACTTCTCCCCACTCCCTCCCCACTGCCCCAAACACAGCACTGATGGGAAGTGGTTGGAGAAGCTGTCTGAAGGGAATCATTGATAGCACACTTAATGTCACCAGAGCTTTGGGTCTCTTCAAAAGAAGTTATGCATGTTTATTTTTATGTAAAATCTCATATTCAAAGAATGGCTTTAACCATGTATGTGTTACATCAAAGCGGGACTGCCTGCCCATAGAGGCCCCCAATGAGTGACACTTGGTATGAGAGCCCAGGAGGCATCTATTAAGAGGACCTCCACATCTTACACAGTCCTGAAGAGAAAACAGAATTAAGAATTTTTTTATCCAGGCAGTGGTGGCATACGCCTTTCATCCCAGCACACAGGAGGCAGAGGCAGGAGGATCTCTGTGAATTCAAGGCCAGTCTGGTCTACAGAGCAAGTTCCAGGACAGGATCCAAAGCTACAAAGAAACCCTATCTCGAAAAACCCAAAATAAACAAACAATTTTTCTTAGCCTGAGTGGTGGTGGCATCTGCCTGTAATTCCAATACTTTGGGAGGCAGAGGCAGGTGGATTCTTGAGTTTGAGGCCAGTCTGGTCTACAGAGTGAGTTCCCGGACAGCCAAGGCTACACAGAGAAACCCTGTGTCAAAAACAAAACCAAACAACAACAGCAACAAAAACCCCAACAACTTTCTAAGAAAGATAACTCTCAGGTCATAATTGGCAAATGACAGAAAATAACCCTGCAAAGCTGTCTGGGTGTGACGGGCTTTGTGATTCTCCCCATCACTGAAGGCGTTTGCATGAGAAATCGATTTTCCCAAGGTTAGCGATTAGTTAGGTTCTGCAGCCACCACTTCCAATCTGTGGCCAGCCAGGGCTGTCAGTGGAGCTATGGCAGAACATGACAGTAAAAGAGCATCTTCAGGAGGCCAAGAGGCAGCTGCAGCAGATGGA